AGAAAAAAGAAAGAAAGAAAGAAAGAAGAAAGAAAGAAAGAAGAAAGAAAGAAGAAAAGAAAGAAGAAGAAAAAAAAGAAAGAAGAAAGAAAGAAACTGAAAAACTAACAAAACAAGCAAAACAATTATGCTGCATTCTTATTAAATACAAGTTTCAAAAAAATACATTTTTTTTCTTCTAAGGTCAGTCAAGGATTTATATTCTTGTTGGTGGATATATATTCAATCTACGGCTAGAAACATTTAACCCCCCACCCCCGCCTAAATAATTTCAAAGATATAAAGCTATTTATTTCATTAGGTTATAAGTAATTTAGTAATGTCGATTACCAAGTAAAATACATCGTAATATCGCCACCTTAGTGCAATAACTGGTTAACTCCTGTTAAATTTAGAGGGACTTAACCCATTACTGCACTTAAGTGGAGATAATTTCTCCACTAACTAGGAGTTTTTACTCAGTATTTATTCACTTAATTAAAAGCGTTCATTATGTCATGAAGCGAAAAAAATCTGTGTTATCTGACCACTTTAGACACGGAAAATGACGGAGTTTAAACAAAAGATTTGACTTACATGCTCAAATCGCTAGTCTTAGCTAATCTTGCTTTATTTACTGCTGTCGAAATAGAGTCCATTTCTGCAGCACCCGTCAATTGAGCAGCTATCTTCTCTCTGAAAAATCAAAATAATTTAAACATGATAACATATAATATGCACAAGTTTGCTTCATTAAAAAGAAGCATGCGAGAGGTCTGTTTGCATCTGTTGAAGATTTGTTTATTTCGAAAATATTTGGAGATATAAAAGGAACAAGAGATTTTCCAAAACGCATAAAGTATGTTAATCAAGCAATTTTAAGTCCCAGTTTTACATTAATAATGTATATATCATTTGATTGGAATAAACAATATATACTGCTTCATGCCTCCAACCACACTATGGCAAGAAAATCAAATTTGTTTGGGGTCCGCCTGGTCTCCTTGCCACTGGTTCTTGTTGCTGAATCATGTGGTGGTTGCGTTCATTGAACGCCGCTTTTCCTTGTTTATCTTACATATCATATTTTTTAGAAAAAGTTGTGCCATTTTCCGCCATTTGCGCAAAAAAAAATCTCCGTTGCGTAATTTAGTCATATCAGTTCAAAGTGAAAGTAGCAGCAAATTTTCGTACAAGTTCCGTTCTCTCGTCATATAAAGTGCATCCTTATGGGAGGGCCGATCGCTAATGTACTTGGGCCCAACCATTTTGCTATTTGTTATTTCGAAATCAATTTGTTTCTCTGTATATTTACATGTATATATAAGCAATAAAATATGATTAAATTAAACTAATAATAGTGCATGGCGATATTGTTGCTATAATATCGTGCCCTGCTTATCCCGCCCCTTGTATGAACCCGACACCTGTTTAATGAGTACTCTTTGTAAACGGGTTGATACTTTTGGAGTTCAGTGATTTTTGAAATCTTAAATTCTGCATATTTAATTTTCAATTATTCGAACTGAATTATAAGTTGAAACTTTTACGAAACTTCGATGATTTTAATTTCAAACACAGTCTGGTAAGACTTATAAGTGTCGTATTTTAATTATCTGCAGTCTTCTAACATATATTAATTAAAAGTAGAAATACCACGCTAGTTAGCAAAAAAAAGAACTTGTCCTTACAAATATTTTCAATTACCCCTTGAAATGTTACTTTTCATAAATTTCTAAAAGTGTTGCATCCTATTTTGTGCAAAAACCTCGAATATGTTTAGTATATGCAATAAAATAATCTAGTTGAATACATTTACTTACGGTGTCAGGTCTTTTAAGACCTGGTCAGCCGCCGCTTGTCCAATTTCACCTGTTTCTTCAGCTTTGAAATTATTCTGCCTATTCAATATAATACTTGATGCACCATCTTCTAGCGTCCTTCTTTCGAATGCATCTTCCTCTTGGTTGCAAGGCGGTGACTCATTAGGCGTTGTTCCCTGGCTGACAGCCGCCCCGAGTAGCGTCATGATCACTATACCAGCGCCCAGTAACAGATACCGACTGCTGCATGTTTGAAACTGAGACATATAAAAAAACGAAACCATTTTTTTTTCCAGAAAATACAATTCTGATGACAACGCACCATATGACAAATTGCGTATAATACTATCAAATGTATGTATTAAATTACTTAACTATCAACCGAAACAAATGTTGAAATAAAATAGACATTTAGGCTTTTAAATTACAGATAGCAAAGAAATATAAAATCTGAGAATATTGTTTTTCCCCAGTTTAGTGAAAAGCGTTACAACGCTTTTTAGGTTTGGGTTATTTTTCACATTAAGAATAAATATTCTGGAAAACGGAGTAAGGCGAATGATCTGCCATTTTACACACAAGTTATTGGTCTTGACCTTCATCAAATGAGCATTAATCTCGAAAAATTATTTTCAGTCATGTCAAAAACTTCAGTTGAGGTCCCTTTAATATGAAAACATTAGCACGTCCATATAAGAGTAGAATATTCTTAAATGGGGTGTTACTGGTATATAATTAGCTAAAGGAAGTAAGAAACAAATGAATGATATAATTTTAAAACAGAGAAACTAGCCCTAAAAGTCAATTTTGTATACTATGATTATTTAAGTATTTAAACATATAAAAAATATAAGAAAACAGAACTATTATATACAGATAAATCCTACCTTTGCCATTCTCATTCGACTTCAGTGACGGCTCTTCGAATCAAAGTGCGTTCAGTAACATACACACGCATTATATGTCAACTGAAAGTAGTCCCTGAAATAAGCCATGCGCAGAAAAAAAGTCCGCAGTTTTAACCCTTACAATTTATATGTGGTATCAAAATTTAAATCAGTTGATAAACATTAAATAAGAGGTTCGTTTTTTTAGGCAAAGTTGGTTATGAAACTCCTATTTTTGAACGTAACAAGAAAAATCACATGTTTACTCCAGGGCTTTAGATTTAGTTTAAACATTTATTCCCAAAAGTATTATATAATTTTTATACATACAATAAACGACAGACCAAATATTTTACATAAGGGAAAAGGATAAGAACGAAAGAGGAATCTCATAGAATCCTTCTCATTTGAACCTGTCAAGGGCAAGCCGTTGTATCATTGAGCATTTTACATTCATTGCTAAGTACTGTTTGGTTCAAGGAACAGATTCGAAAGTGTTTCAATAAGCTTATAGCTTCCAACACAATCGAACTAAAATGAATTTGTATAAAATAATTTAAGTTGTCTGAAAATACCAAACTGCCGATTTTGCAAACATAGTTTATTAGTACGTATTTAAAAAATTTAATTGATCAAGTGTTGCGTAGCTACGGAGCCCCTAAAGTGACATTTTCCACACTTTTTTCACTGAGATTTAATTCGTTTTTACGAACTTTAAATTCGTTTTTACGAAATAATAATTCGTAATTACGAAATGTTTAATATTCGTTTTTACGAAATATTATTTCGTAATTACGAAATATTAATTCGTAAAAACGAAATATTATCTCGTAATTACGAAATATCAATTCGTAAAAACGAAATATTAATTCGTAATTACGAAATATTAATTCGTTTTTATATTAATTCGTTTTTACGAAATAATAATTCGTTTTTACGAAATATTTATTCGTTTTTACGAAATCTTATTTAAGGTCATTGTGAGCTTGACAAAGAAACTACTGATCTCACAAAGGAATCATTTACAAGCCTGCATCAACCTTGCGATTATAAGCCGAATGGTTCTCAAGTTATTATAATTATTTAAGTGAGTGAGAAGTCATTCTCTATCCAAAATGGCCTCTTTTTCCCCATTGTCAGATACATGTTCCTATCAGCAATGTTTTAATTTTTGAGGCAATAAATCTTTTTTGACATGTTTCTTAAAATAAGAAACATGCTATATTATTACTTTCTTTTATAATATTCATTAGTAAAACTAAAGGGGCGAGGTGGGTCCGTGTTCGGATTTGAAGGACCCCCATTTTAACAAAAAATTTCCTAGCGCGTTTACTATCACGGCTGTGGCGGTAACGCTATAGCCAGGCGATTATTTTAATTTATATACAACAGTGTTAAGTTATAAAACTTGGGGAGAAAAAAATCACTATCTATATTGCATTTACATGCCTTATATTCAGTCAGGAAGTTAGTTTCGAGGCCTTATAAATAACTATTACCAAAATTCTTTGAAACCCTAGAAAAAATTTAATTCGTTTTTACGAAATATTATTTCGTATTTACTAATTATTATTTCGTTATTACGAAATAACATTTCGTTTTTACGAATTAATATTTTGTAATTATGAAATAATATTTCGTAAAAATGAATTAATAATATTTCGTAATTACGAAATAATATTTCGTAAACACGAATTATTATTTCGTTATTACGAATTGATATTTCATAATTACGAAATAATGATTCGTAATTACGAAATAATATTTCGTAATTTCGAATTAATATTTCGTAAAAACGAATTAATATTTCGTAAAAACGAATAAATATTTCGTAATTACGACTAAATATTTCGTAAAAACGAATTAATATTTCGTAAAAACGAATTAAGTTCCGGGGAAAAAAGTACGGAAAATGTCACCTTACGTAGCCGTGCGACCAATTTAATTTTGTAAAAACGTACTAATAAATTTTAACCAGTTTATTGTTTTAGATTATTTTTATAAATAGTCGATTTACAAGATTGATTAACAGTTTGCTGATTTACCAAAGTAAATGTGTAACGATTCATTTGAAATACTGCAATCCTTTTGCACAAAAAATAATTTCAAACGCTAAACGGTGATTAACGACTAAAATATCCCTACTGTTTTATCTAAAACTCTCATGTAAGCGAAATACCAGCAAAACATCGCATAAATACGCACAATTGCAATATTTTTTTATAATAATTGTGCGTGTTATGCATAATTATTTATCACATACTCATGCCGATTTTGCGGCTCCGCAAAAATGGTAATTCACCAATTTTGCATCATTAACTAAAATTTCACTTTAAAGAGATGTTCGTAGTTGTATTTTAATTGTAGGCTGTATTTTGAAGCGAAAAAATTGCGGAGCGTGTTAATACATATTAATGTATCTAGTTTTTAGTCATTTCAAACAAAATGAGTAATAAACAAAAACTCACCCTTTTCATTCAAAGATGGGTGCGTTTAGGATACGACGCATTTCTGTTTTCCTGTCCTGAACATCGGGGTGGAACCCCATATGGATCTCAAAATTGAGCATCGGTTAAAATATATGTGAATTTCTGTTTTATCCAGATGTGGTGTATAACTCGATGTGTGAAGGAGGGTAGAATCACATTTCGATTTTCAGCTCTGGATTTTATATAAATGTTTTCAAAGTTGAAAACTTACCCTGCGACTGGCCAATTTATTGCTTCACATATCGAGTTATACATTGTACATCACATCTGGATGAGCGGAAATTCACATACATTTTTACCGATGCTCAATTTTTGAGGTCCATATGGGGTTCCACCCCTATAAGCAGTTCGGGTCAGTAGCTGTCATTGCCGCATATGTCCACATTTATCACCGTATTACATGCAGCAATCGCAACTAATCGGCCCTTTCCATCAACTTACAACTATTTTAAATCCGTATTTAATTAACTCCGAGATTATTAATATAGCCGAGGATGTTCCGATTGCGTATTACAGCCGCCAGTGATGACATATCGCTGCAGTGCTAAATCTAAAATTTACTGATTACTACAGGTAAATGATAAACTGGATTTATGTATTTTTATTGTGCTAATAAGTTCAATTTCATTGCTAAAGTCTTACTGTCCATTGACCGGAGATACTATACGATATTTTTGGACTCGTTTCCAAATTTCTTAAAATATTTTGAGCGGTCAAAAAATGACAGCTTCGGATAAATTCGTGAAAATGTGCCAAATATCAAACGAGTGTATGCTACAGGCGTCTAAACTAGCCCGATGATGTTCCATGTTGGTTTGCTGAAATATCAAATTGCATTTATACATCCCCGACAGAGCCCAGGTGTTTTCCGGTTCAGTACCTAGCATTCGGGGTGTTATGGTTGATTGTTTGTTTCTTTATGTCAAGATTTGCCACTTTGTTGTACTCAAAATGATTACAATACATATCTGAATATGGAGTAACTATTTTTCGCTAGGGTCGTAACGTATACGACTAGGTCGGAAAAAATACACTGTTAAGTACAACTAAAATACAAACAATTCTCATATCTTGTCATAAAAAATAAGGTAATATTTAGAATCAATTTTAAACTTTTACGCCCCTTAGTCAAATACTGTCCTCGACACAAATCAGCCACCATTATTAAAAGTAGGACAACCTGAGTATACAAAACCAGTGCGTTATTTGGCAAAACTGTCCCAAAACAAAGTGTGAAACTTATCTCCAACACATAATGCAAAACATCTATGTAGTACGTTTTTGAAACGTTTATGTTTTTCAGAAATAAAATACCGGAAGTATATACATGAAATGAAAAGTGAAAAGAAATGTAAACTCAAAATTTTCCAAAAAAATATATATAATCTTCATAAAAAATTTCAAAGCGCTCTTAAAAGACCAAAACTCACAACCCGCTTGAATTGCATTACTATAGACCTTTTTACAATACGATTTTTCCATAGCAACCGATGTTGCATTTCGCGCATGCGCATTCTCCTTAGGGCAAAAGCGCATAGCGATAGACTACATTTAGCGTACTTGAAGGCTATAAAAGACGTGATTGTAAGTTATGTCACCCAGACAACAGAATTTTTGTGATGAATTAAAGCGGTAAGTACTTCAAACGTGAATTGATATTTATAACAGATATACAAAGTTAGCGGGTCTAATAATTCAATGACCAAAAGTCCTGTTCAAGGTATCATACAATGACTTTTCATCAGTAATTTAAAGTGTTAAAGATACAATTCTATTACCCATGTATTACATAATATTACACAATCGATATTCCTTTGAAAGTGGATTGGCAAGGCGGTAAATGTCAAACGGATTGACACGTGATCGAGTGGCCGCTTAATTGTTATTTGCCAGCTATAGTTTTCAGTATCATTCAACCGGGACGTTTTAGTAATATGACATAGTTAATCACGTAAAATTATGAAATTATCGTAATTTAAGTTACTTTTTAAGTTTATACCACCAATGTTTATTAATTTTGTGAAGTGACAAAAAGTGTACGTGACGTGCATTTTAATGTTTTACGAGAAACCGGATAAAATGTGTGTTATATCATTGCCCATCTTAACCTATCAAGGGTTTGAAATATCTATGTGTCTTAAAACGTTTCTGCTTGGCATCACAGTCAAGTTGGATAAATGATAATATTAGGTAAGCTGTAAACTAAAAATGCATTAATTATCACGTGTTCCGACTTGTTTTCAGAATAATAATTAACCTCTATTTTATATGTTATAAAATTTCTTTAGTTTTTATGAGAACAATTTCAACAACAATTAAATTGACTTCTTTATTTGATAATACATATATTTCGACATTTTTTACAACAATTATCTCATTGTCATGTCTGTGAATGTAAGGGGGGATTCTTAAACAATCGTTTTCCATGCCTTTTTGGGGCAATTTTGGCCACAAAGCTATAAATGTATCTTTTATATTTGTGTAAAAAGCTATTTTATATGATTTCCTAATTTTTACCTCAAGCCAACTCGGAAATATCTATGAACTTCTACTAGATTTCTATGTAGGGCAACGTTTTTTTTTGCCCTACGCAGATTGCACAGGCGCGAGAAAATACTACTTCCGGTCAATTTTTTATAGCAACGGACCGCGTCGTAAAAAGG